GGGGGGGGGGGGGGGGTAGGATAGTGTCATTCTTGAATATCAGGTAAGGTCCGTGCTATTGTTATTTGCAAACTAAGATATGATGAGTCATAAGGGTGATTTTCCCACCCCCATATGTAAACATTGTTTGAAGAGTGAAATACCATTACCAAATCAAGGGTCAAAAGAGTCATGGAAACAATCAAATAGTAGGGGCCCTCAGAAGCGTCACCTAACCAGAGATCAGAGCAATGTGATTCAAAAATATCTTGAAGGTTTTTATAATTGCTGAAAAATGCTAGGTTGTTAGCCCAATTTTCCTTGAAATGCTTTGCATATCTTATATTCCTGTGTTATTTTCCTTAGTGATTGTGCAGTAACATTTTTTCTATTTCCCTTCGATATGTAATAACAATCTTAGCCAAAAAAATATGTTGTTTAATATAATTTATCAATGAGGTCAATATATGAAACATGTAAGATTTAGAATATCTTGTCTTGATTGTAATTGTACAACATGGTGTGGTGTGGATAGTAGTTATTCTAGGCTCAATTTTTTTGTAGTTCCACGAAAACAAACTGCCAGATTTCTTATTTTATATATTAAATATAAGTTAGTTTGTGTAGGGTAATATTGTAATTGCTTTAATATTACACAATTATAAATAAGAGATCAAAGGGATCATCTTTATAGCATCTTGATTTGGTAGGACATCTTGATTTGGTAGGACATCTTGATCAAAGGGATCATCTTGATTTGGTAGGACAAAGGGATCATCTTTATACCATCGACTTCTAACATCAATACTTGTGAAATGTGAATCAACATTCATTGTTTTTCCACTACTACGATTGAACCATTCACATTGAAACAAAACAACACGATGCCCAAAGAAATAACTCATTTCCCATACTTCACTTAAATAACCATAGAAGTTCATTGTTACATTCTCATGATCCCTTCAACAACTATTCCACTATTTTGAGTTTTACGACGGGTGTCACGATCTTTAGTGTGGAATTGGATGCCGTTGGATATGCAACCTGAATACATTTTCACTGAATCATCAGGACCATTTGCTAATGACCATAATTCATCATTAACTTCGAGTGACCCTTGAGATCGTAATTGATTGATCTACAAATGCATCAAATGAAAAAATGCACGCATGATTTCCACAATAAAATAGACTAAAGTACGCTTAATGTTACATTAATAATTTGTCTTACTCGTTTTTCAAACCACTTGGGAAATTCCTGTTGATACTTTATTGTGACATTGTGTTCATTTTGCATTTTTAATAAGTTCTTGTGCTCCCTACGTACAGAATATGTGATTAATATAATGTAAGACAAGATCGAGGTATGTAAGACATTCTCAAATATATAATGGCCAACATACTCTAGGTATGAATTTATCTCAGGACTATTTTGCAAGACAAACCACTGAGCCATATCATGTTCCTTTTGTGAAACATCAGATGCATTTCTTATTGGTCCAAAGGGATGAACTTTTTGTGAGAAGACGGTAAACCCTGAAGCATGTGCAACACCATCATCATTACGCTCCTCTCGATTGAATACAGTTTCAATCCCACTTAGATACATTGAGCAGAAAGTAAGACACTTGTTCACAATATACGCTTCTGCGATTGATCCTTCGGGACGAGCTCGATTACCAACATTCTTTTTTAGAGTGCCAAGGTACCTTCATACAATACAAGTATAATTTAATCTAAGTTCAAAATAGAAATATTGATATCAAAATGATGATTACCTTTCAATTGGGTACATCCAACGGTAATAAATTGGTCCGACAAGCATAGCTTCACGAGGAAAGTGCACAGCTAAATGAACCATCACATCAAAGAATGCTGGTGGAAAAATTTGTTCCAATTTGCATAGTATTAAGACAATTCGATGTGATGCATCCAAATCTTTAATCCTCAATGTCTTCGAACATAATTGTTGAAAGTAGTTGCCTAACTCAAACAAAGCAATACATATTTCTTTATCAAGAAACCCACGTATTCCTATTGGAATAAGCCGTTGTAGGAAAACATGACAATCATGACTTTTCAGACCTGATACTTTTCCATCCTTAGTGCTTACATATCTTGAGATGTTAGCTGCATAGACATCAGGATACTTCACTGATTTAAAAAAATCACAAAATTCTTGTCTCTCTTTTGGTGATAATGTGTACCACGTGGGGGGTTTCACATAAGAATCACCTCGCTGCTGAAGGTGCAACTTTTTCCTTATGTGCAGATCTTCCAAATCTAGACGAGCTTTTTCAGTGTCCTTGTTCTTTCCATTAATGCTAAGCAACGTTCCAAGAATGTTATCACATATATTTTTCTCTATATGCATGACATCGAGGTTGTGTCGAAAGTTGAGTTTCACCCTGTATGGCAGCTCGAAGAATATGCTTTTCTTCGTCTAATTAAGTTCATCAGATGTACGTTTCCTTTTCTTATTGCTTGGATGTTTACAAAACTTGACATCTGGCAGTGACCGTAGTTCCAAAATTTCATTCCCCGATAGCTCCACAGGTTTCAATCGTTTCTCATGCTTACCATCGAATAACTTACTTCGACGCCAAACATGCTCTTGAGGTAAGAACCGATGATGTCCTGTGCAGCATATTTTACTTCTTAATGACTATAATAAAGTATTGTAGTTACAAACTGGGAATGCCAAATAACCCTTTGTACTTCACCCAAACATGTACCCATAGGTAGGAAAGTTATTAGTGGTCCACATAACAGCTGCACGCATTCGAAATGTCTGTTTGCTACATGCATCAAAAGTTACAACAGTATCTTCCCACAATAATTTCAACTCATCGATTAAAGGTCGCATGTAGACGGCAATATCTCTTCTAGGTGCTTGCAGACTAGGAATAAACAATGACATCATGAAGAATGACTCCTTCATACATTTCCATGGAGGTAAATTGTAAGACATAAGTATGGCAGGCCACATACTATATGAGTTGCTCGTGTTTCCAAAAGGGTTAAAACCATTAGTCGCCAACCCTAATCGAACATTACGCGGATCTTGGGCGAAGGAAGGGAATTGTTGATCAAATTCTTGCCTTTCTTTAGCATCAGCCGGATGCCTTGACCCATTCTCATCATCGACACGTTTTTCTTTATGCCACCTCATATCTGTTGCAGTCTTCCTTGACATGTATAGTCTCTGCAACCTTAGTTTCAACGGAAAATATCGCAATATCTTATGAGGGATCTTCTTACCTTTGCCATCATGGATCCGATATTTAGACTCCCCACATATTGGACAATTTTCTAGATTTTCATTCTCTTTCCAAAACAGTGTACAATCGTGCTAACATGCATGTATGAGAATATATCCTAATCTCAATGCTCGTAATAACTTCTTGACATCATAAATAGATTCTGGATCATAGTTGCTTTCTGGTAAAAAATCCTTGAATATCTCCAGCATCATATTAAAGGCCTTATTGCTCAACTTGTTCAACACCTTCACATGAAGCAATTTTACAATAAAAGAGAGCAAAGTAGCTTTCATACATCCTGGATACAACTCACGTTGAGCATCATTCAGTAATTTTTCAAAATTTCGTACATCTTCCCTCCCATTGATATCATCATCTTCTCCAAAAATCGATTCCCCCAAATTATTATCCGTAAAATTCCCCATGCCCACATCCTCTAACATCTCAGGTAATTCATCTTGGGCATCATCCTCAGCATTAGTCAATTCATCTTGAACATTTTCTCCTATGGTATCATTGTGTAGTACATTGGGAACGGGTTCTCCATGGTGTACCCGCACCGTATAGGACGCCATAATTTCTTTCCAACACAAATGATTTTTCACAGTCTTTGCGGTGTGCCAGTATATATTGAAACAGTATTTACATGGATACCGAATTTTTCCATCTCGCCCCGTTCGTGGCAATGCAAAGTCAATAAATGCCTCCACCCCATCAACATACTGCTTACTTTTTCTTTCTCTAATTATCATCCAACTCTTGTCCATTTTTAGCCACTTCTCCATTTAACAAGAATAGAGAAAATATGAAATGAGATGAAATCAAATCTCAACGTATATCAAAAAATTTAAATTATGAAGAGCACAATTTAAACTATAATACATTGAGTGTGCATGTTGGAAAATTTTTGGTATTTTAGATGAATTTGTTTTGTTAGAAATGGTAGTTTAATGGTAGGGGGTGTTGGTGATGTTTAAATATAAACTAGAAGGAGTGCCAGTGATGTTTTTTATAATAGAGGAGGTATCATTGAAGATATAGTAAACTAGGAGGGGTGTAGCTGAAATTTTCCCTAAAATCAATTATCGAGGAATTAAAAAAAATTTAAGATCATAATTCGAGAGTTAAAATATAATTTTAAAAATTTGAGGGGTGGCCATGACCACCCTTGTGCCATGACATGACTCCATCATTATTGGTGAAGTCATCGCACTCTTAGTCAAGGTTAATGACTGAGATAAACTCAATTATTGTAATCATTAATATTATTTGAACTTAATTTATTAATATAATTTGTTGACGTAATCTATCACAATTATTGAATTGGGTGTGCGTTTTAATAACTACCTGGAATCAGTATTAATCCAACGATTATAAATAATTAGGTCAACAAATTATATTAATAAATTAAATTTAAATATCATAAATTGTTTTATGAGAGTGGAAAGAGTTAGAGCCTCAACTCATCCTTAGAAAAATTTAGATGGGAAAACTAATCTATTACCTTGATGTTGATGAATGACCTGTAGAAAGTATTAGTCAACTATCATAATGACCACTAAAATACTAATTTAAACCTTACCTAATATTGGCTTTCTTTTTCAAGTCTCATTATCTTTATTGAATTTCTTCAT